CCAGAGGAACTTGACCTTGCCTGAAACAATCCACTCTGTTAGAAACTTCCTTTTTCCTCTCCTGTCTGCCTGTAAAAGCCTTCCATTTCATACAGCTCCTGGGAGCTCCTCTCTTTTGCTAGATGGGATACTGCCCAATTCATGAATCACTGAAAAAGCCAACTTGATCTTCAAATTCACTCAGTTGAATTTTATTTTTGACCATGGGGCATAACACACTTGAGCAAATTCTTAAAGCAAAAAGTGAATGACTGTCAACTATTTCGCAAATATTGATGGTATGCTTCTGAGAGAAGGCAACTGAAAACCAGAGCCACGAGCACTGTCACAGACCAAAGAACTGAGAAGCAAGGAAGACTCAGAGAGCTTCCAGACTACACGTCACCTCATGCAAAAAGCTGGTGAGGTCTGTGAGCATCTCTTTCTCCACAGCAGCACAGAGCCTCCTTGCCAGTCAGAACAGACCGAGCTGCGTCCCAGGAGAAAGGGCACCCCCAGAGAAATGTGCACACCCACCTGACTTCATTAATACCGAGCGAGAAGAGAGACACCTCAAGCCTCAAAAATACCAGATGGAAAGTGACAGACTTTAAGAGCAGGGGCTGGAGTGACTAAGGACAGAGCCTGGGAACCTCTGGAATCCGCATGTGAGTCTTCGTAACGGAAACAGCAGATCACACCAGACCAGAGTGACAACACAGCAACAAGACCGACCAGAAGCAGGAACGAGCCGGTCCCCAGAGCCAGACACAGTCCAGGTGACCGGGGCTGGAAGATGACACAAGAGCCACGGTGACCTCTGTGGAGTGAACCGCCTTGACCGCAAGCAAAATGTATTGCACCGAAGAAGGAACACCTAGTCAGGGCAGGAGAAATAATATGAATTAAACGAGCAAGAACAGGGGAGGGTTTGCAAGTTGAGGAGACCTTCAGAGAGACAGTCACAACAGGAAGAAGCCGCCAGCAGAACTGCAGACTGCTTTGCATTCTTTCCACCACAAGAGGGAGGGAAGCCAAGAATACAGTTGGAGTTTGACCAAGCTGAATTGAAATTTGGGTAGAGACTAAATTGAGCAAGCCTGACTGCAGGTCGCCCCCGCGAGGAGAGCCCTCCCTGCCCCTTACAAAAACGCATTCTAATGAGAAAAGCCACATGCAGATGAAGTTAAAAGTAACCCAGAGCCCGTTACACACAGCTGATGAATTGTTGAACTCTATACCTGAAACTAATGATGTACTATATGGTGGGTCATTGAATTTAAATTAAAAAAAAAAAAAAAAGTAACCCATAGCAGAGCAAACAAAGTCACAGGAGGCATGCAGGGAGAGTCTGTGTAGCAGAAAAAGGATGCCAACAGGAGGGAAGCATTTAAATTGTATCGAGAAGGGCTAAAACCAAGTCCACGTGCTTGAGAGAGCCTCTGTGCTCTGTGTAAACGTGAAGGTTCTCCTCTTGCTTCCAGCACAACTGGTGCCAGTGTTTCATACATACTGGTTGCCACCATTGACTAGAAGAGGTGCTGGACTGGGAAATGAGAGCCCTCCCTATCCCCCCCCCCATCTCTTGTGCCCTGGGGGAGGAAATATAGCCCCTGGGTGGACTGAGCCCCCCAGGGGGAGAAAGGGAAACCAACAGTTACATTTGCATCTCATTGGGATGGTGGTAATAATGGCAGAGTGAGAGATTTTCTCTAGTAGTATTTTTAATACTGAATTTACTAGTTGTTCATGGTTAACTGCATGGTGTGCGACCAATTCTAATATATATATATGTATATATATAATATATATATGTATACATATATATATATACATATAATTATGTCATTACCAAGTCCTGAGTTAAAAGAAAAAGATGAAAAATAGTCAGGAATTGTTGACTTGGCTATGAGAAGCGTCCATTTTTCAACCATCGCCTTCCTTAGGCATCTCTCATCTCACACTTTCAGTGGTATAGGAACAGTGAAAGGAATGATAAATGAATGAATGTGTACTATGTAAATCATTTTCCTTTCTCCCTGACCCCCTCTTCTTTTCCAAGCTGAATGGCTGAATTTGGGCAAATTGAAAGCATCTATGATGGAAGCCCACCATATACGGCCAGCGCTATGCCCAACGGTAGGAAGACTCTACTTCTCTGAACCTGCCCTTCCAGAAGCAGACAACCCTAACTCCATGCTGTGCATTCAGCCTCTGGAGCAGAGACCGCCTGGGTCAGGCTTCATGCCCCAGTTCCCTGCTCAACTGGACAGAGCCCAGCCTTTGCTGGCTCTTTCTTCTGAGGGAGAAACACGTTGTCCTGCCTCCACTGGCTTTAAAAATGAGTGTCTTTTGGGGCGCCTGGGTGGCTCAGTGGGTTAAGCCGCTGCCTTCGGCTCAGGTCATGATCTCAGGGTCCTGGAATTGAGCCCCGCATCGGGCTCTCTGCTCAGCAGGGAGCCTGCTTCCTCCTCTCTCTCTGCCTGCCTCTCTGCCTGCTTGTGATCTCTCTCTGTCAAATAAATAAATAAAAATCTTTAAAAAAAAAATGAGTGTCTTTTTCCTCCAACTTCTCCTGAATCAAGGTTAGTTTTCCACCTTGAACTATACCTCTACCTGTGGATTCCTGGCTCCCCGCTCCTACATCCAATGTTGCAGAAAGTGAAATCATTTCAGCATGGACAGAGGTTCATTCTTCCCCAAGAGCAGCCAGCCACATTTTAGAAACCAGCCCTACAGCCCAACTCACTCCCTCAACCCTGGATTCAACCACGAGGGTAACAGGAGGTCTTCGGTTAAGTGAGGTTCAATAGCAACAGACCAGAAGTTGGAGAGAACACGAGTCTGTGGCCGTGGGAGCACATGCAGTGAAAGTTTCAGGGCATCAGCAGCAGGATCTCTTATCCTCCCTGCTTCCTCACTGGAGCAAAAGTAGAGAAAAGGGCAAGATCATTGTCTCTGTGTGACCTCTATACCCATGTCAGATAGATAACTGGAGAGAAATGGGAATTTAAAAAGAGCACCATGAGAACAAGCACCTTTATGCCTCCATATTTCCCTAGTATCTAGAAAAGTGCTTGGCATACAGTAGAGGCTCAGTTAATATCTGTTGAATGAATGAATGAACAAAGGAACTCATGCACATGCTTGGTGATTTTTCAGCTGCATTCCTATTTGTCTCAACATCACCAGAGCCCTGGCTCAGGAGGACCAACAGATCACGCCTGCAGGTTCAAAGGCAACACTTCTCCTTTCAGGCTTTCAATGCATTTATCACATCACTTCGGTGAGTCTACACATATAATTGAAATATATCACTCCCGAAGCCCCACGAGTGACACCAGCCACAGTGGGGCCGGTGCTATAATTTCCAGAGACGCCAGGCTAATCTGAGTGACATGGTCTCCTGACATTTCAAATAAGGAGCAGCTACACTCATCCATCTGGCCTCCCTCCCCTCCCTCCTGCTACCCCCACAACTGGTAAGAATCAGAATGTCCTCAAGGTGTTTCTAGGTCACAAGTAACCCCTGGGCTTGCGGCACATGAACTGTCCTTGGGATTTCTTCACTGCCCTGTAGAGATTTAGCATAACAGCCTGTGGCTCTTTTCCACAAAGCTCAGACCTGACTTGCTCACCCATATGGAGATAGGTCCAGGTTAGTAATGGACATGTACAAAACAACTACTTGTGCAGGCCTTGTGCAAATGCCGACTCTTTGGGCATTACAGTCTGGTTGGGTCTCTCCTGAGACACAGCATCTCCTTTCCCTCCAGTGTAGATGATGTCCAGAGCTCCTTCTGATGAGTGCTTTGTGTAAGCTATCCTGTGCCCACTCCTGCCCCCATTAAGGCTTCTAACAGATAGAACCAGGTTTAAAGGAGATAGAAGGCACCTTAGGGTAAAGGCAGCCCGTGAAAGTAAAGATACAAGGTACAATCATTCCAGAGTGTCTGCTTCAGGGTGGGCTGGCTAGGTACACAGGTGAATACAGACCTTTCCAAGCACCTCTACAAAGGCAACCTACCCAGACTGCTTTGCCTGCTTGGGTTCCCTCTAATTCCAAGCACACGTCTCCCCGACCCCTGTCATTTTAGAACTTGGACTCTGCGCATGCCTTCCACAGCTTGTTAAAATCGGACTGTGGGAGGCAGAAGATCCTTCAGTGGTCACCCGGTCTGTTGTGTCACCATGCCAGAGTCCCCTAACATCCCGGACGGGAAGTCAGACAGCCTCGTCTTGTGCACCAGCTCAGAACCTTCCAAACGGGCCCAATCATACGAGCCACCAGAAGCACTTGTAAGAAGTATAGAGCCCATGAACTCTTCAAAGCTACACAAAATCAAAACCTGCCCAGAAGAGGCCTATGAACTTGAATTTTAACCAGTGCCCCTCCTGGGTCCTGCAATTAAGCATGTTTCTTATGCACATGTGATGCAGGGGTTCTTGACAGGAGGTGCATCTCAGCATCAGCTAGGGAGCTTTAAAAAAAAAAAAAAATCAATGACAGGCCTTTACCCCGAGCTATTCCTACTTAATCTGTCTGGAGCGGAGCCCAGGAGGTGTCACTGTTTAAAGCCACTAGCTGATTCCAATCTGCAGCCAGGGTTGAGAACGACTATAGTATCTTCCCCACCTGATGGCAAGCTCTTTGAGGCCCGCAACCAAGGAGTCTATACCTCTTGGTACTCTTTACCGAGCCCCGCCACCAGGCTGAACCTGCTGGAAAATACACTCTATCACTACTAAGGTGATTTCATTTAACTAGCTCCGTTCACCCATCCAATGGGATGTGATTTCCTAACTCTGCTAAGAAGCTGTGCGCTTCCACTCAGCAAGAGGCCAGACGATAGGAGGATAGAAAGTGCTACAACTTCTCATGGTTGAGTCTGCCCACACACACACACACACACACACATACACAGCCCTCCCATGCCCCAGAACAACCAGCCCGGACAACGTCAGAAGGCTCATCCCAGGGCTCTTCACCCTTGCTGCAACCCGCCAGCAGCTCTACTCACATTGTACAGCACGGTGGTCCACCCTTCCATGGTGATGCACTGGAAGACGGTCAGCACAGCAAAAAGGATGTTATCAAACTGGGTGATCCCATCGTTGGGGCCAATCCAGTCTCGGCATTCGTAACCAGCGGGGCAGCCCTGCACACCACACGGGTGAGGGGGGTCGAATCCTTCCAGAATACCTGCAGACACATTTGGAGGGCCAGGGATACACCACATGGTGGTTAGCACGAGCTGGAAAGGACTCCAGGGAGCCACAAACACTCCATGCCATTTCTCACAGAAGGGCGTGTCCTCCTTTCTCTCAGGCTCCCTCCTGCCTCTGGCCTCTCTCAGCCTCACAGCTCCCCTGCCACGTGCTCATCCCAGCGCTTCCCAACCTCCTTGGACGTGGTGCCTCTCATCCACTTTGTGCAGGCCATATGCTCTGCTCTTGCCTGAGCCCCACAGGACATGACAGACTGGATCACACAGGACAGTATGAGGTGGAGGCAGGATCTTACTGAGTGTCTAACTTCAGACTGTGGTGTAGACCCTGAGTTCTTCCTGCGTTTCCTGGAGACAATGATAAACTATAGTCCCTCCACAGTAGGACTCAAAGCCTTGTTCTTCTGGCCTAAATCCCTGGTCTTGAATAAGACAATCAATCAGTCAATCAGTAAAATGAAACTCCAAGGTAGAAGGTGTTCTTTGAAGATTCTTTGATAAAACACAAACATTATACTAAATTGAAATTCTTCAACCTCCCCCTGATGCCCTTTCCTGCTAGACTATTCTGTTCAACTTGAAAAGAACAAATAAGATACAAAGAGATAAGAATTTGGGTTGGGGCGCCTGGGTGGCTCAGTGGGTTAAAGCCTCTGCCTTCAGCTCAGGTCATGATTGCAGGGTCCTGGGATCGAGCCCCTCATCGGGCTCCCTGCTCAGTGGGGAGCCTGCTCCCCCACCCCCCCAACTCTGCCTGCTTGTGATCTCTATCTGTCAAATAAATAAATAAATAAAAATAAAATCTTAAAAAAAAAAAAAAAGAATTTGGGTCTGTGAACAAACTCCACAAATACCCCAGACCCCTGGCAAGCCAAGCTCAGGGCTCCCTCAGCTCTTCTACACCCTCTGTGGGGCACAGCAGAGGAGGAGGAAAGTCACAACATGGATCACGAGGGAAAATGTCTCCACAGATCTAGAGAGATCCAAATCCAACTCTGGACTCCTGGATCCCCCTGGCCTATGAGCCAAAGAGGACACTGTACAAAGTGTATTCAGACAGATGAGGTCTGACATGCGTTTTGACAACCTTCTACCATGGGATGGGGGAGCTGAGACCTCCTGTTGGAAATCCTCTGACTGCAAACTTAAGAGGTCATTGGTTTTGCAATATCACTGTCCAATGGGGACCTTCAGTCTAGGCTGCTTGTGCCTCAAAAAGCCACCAACTTGGGAGTTTCTAATTCTGGGACTGAGGCAGAACATTGTCTTCCAACCAGTCTCCCGATGACCTGAAATTACTCCAATGACCAGAGGGGTGAGCAAGGGAAGACGTAGAAGGCAAGAAACAATGACCCTACCTGAATTGTTTGTGAAACACGCGCGGTGCAGCTTCCCACTGTAGAACTCCAAGCCAATGATAGCAAACATTAGGATGGCAAAGAAGAGCAGAAGACCAATTTGCAGAAGAGGCACCATGGCCTTCATGATGGACTTCAGCACAATCTGCAGGCCTGGAAGGAAAGGAAGAGAATGACCAATGGAGCCTCCCTGAGCACCATTGGATACAGCAGGCTCCCTTGACCTCCTCCTACAAGTCTTTGAGGGAAAAGAACCTCTGGCCCTGAGATGATGAAGACAATTTGCAAAGGGACAACCAGAACAAGTCAAGCCAAAGACAGCCATCACAACTACTCCTGGGATCCATCTCGTGCTTTTTCTCACCATTCTCTAATCATTTATGTGCTTATTACTCCTCACCTCTTTGTTTCACCCCTGTTGTCTTCTGCTTATCTTTTACAAACCTATTAGAACATGCTTCTTTCCTAAAAGAAATTAAGCCTAGCCCTGCCAGGCTGTAAGTCCTATGAGAGCAAGGACAAGGTTTGCCTCCCCTCCTACTCTACTCTCTCTGAGAGCTCGCTGCTTCTCCACTGTTGTGGGACCACAGTTAGTACAATCACTATTCATAAAGCACCATACACTCTGACCCAGAAAGTGCACTTCTAGGATTCTACCCTAAGAAAATAATTAGAGATCTGAATAAGATTTAAGTAAAAAGATGTATGTTGCTGCACTATTTCTAGTTGGAAAAAAATAAAAATAATCTAACATCCAGCCATGTAGAAATGACTAAATAAGCCAGCCTGTATGAGATGGACTGTAATATCAAACTTTTTAAGTCATATTTTTGAGGAATATTTAATGTCAGGAAAATCAAATGCTTCTATGACAGGATCCAGAAGTACAGACACAATATGATCAAATTGTATTAAAATGCACAGGAAAAAATGCATACAAATATAGGATAATGAGCACTTTCCCTTTTCATTTTATAACATCTTTTTTACCTTGCAAATAATTCTACAAAAATCTTTCATTATCTTTAAAACCCAGGGGAAAAAAAAAAGAGTTGCTAGGTTTTAACGTAAAATGTTATGCCAGATCCCTGCTTCCGCACTTTTTATTACCACTGGAGAAATCGTTTCTTGTTTATCTTGTTTATCCCAGATTCCTCTGGCCCCAGATCCATAAAGCTACAGCAGAGGAGAAGAAGAAGAAAGACAGGTGCTCACTAGGTATCCCCGACACGAGCTTCAGGGGCCTCAGGACACGCACAGCCCGGAGGGTCCTCAGGTCCACATGTGTGTTGAAGTGGGTTCCTGCCGTGGCCAGGATACTGCAGGTGGAGACACAGAAGGTCAAGGTTACCACAGTCTGGCTTTCTCCCCCTGACCCAGGGGGAAGCCGGGTGGGGGAGGGATCAGCCTGGAAAGCACACGGCGCTGAGGGCAGCTGCACGTGGGCGCACCTGAGCTCGGGTGAATCATCGCTGGTTCTGACTGGAATTAAATTTAGCCACATCTGGGTTTTACTTTGCACAGAAGGAAAACTTATCATCACACCAGAATCCTAGTTCCAGATCATGAATAGAACACCGGCTCCCTAGCATCTGTCCCACTCCTGCCTCCAAACCTTGTCCGCTCCTCTCCTCTCTATTCCTCACCAACCTCCTTGCCCTCTTTCCAACCTGCCAAGGCCCCTGGATTTTGTATTTCAGCCTTTCCTTAGATTCCCCTGTCTCCTAACTCCTTCCGGGACTTTCTCTGGATCAGCTGCAGTAAAGGAGTAACTCGTTCTTCTCCACCCTGGCACTCAGGAGTTTTTACCAAGTGAATCGATCACACTGAAGCTTATAAATCACGGAGTAACTTCACTGGTCCTCACACAGCACTTTTATAATGGCTCCACATCGCTATATAACTTGGATTTGGTTTCTTTGCTTCCATTTTCCACCTCCACAGCCAGACACACACACGCGCGCGCGTGTGCACACACACACACACACACACACACACACACACACACACCCAAATCCATAACAACCCTATTAGACTGTGTATACCAAGTGCCTTGTCTCGAGGAGACAATTTATTTCATATAATCCCACGACACTGCAGGTGCTGTGGATGGTCGATGACACCTGAGTATTAAGGAAAGACACAGCAGATGACCAAGAGCCAGCAGAGTGGGGCTCCCATCGTAACTCAAGCACTTGAGAACCGAGCGACGTGAGGCAAGTTACACATTCCAGCAGCCTCACTGCCCTCATCTACAAAATGGTGGGAGTACCAGGACCTCACTACAAAAATAAAATGAGACGGTATTGAATAGGAGTATTCTACAAGTTATAATGTGCAGACTAGGTATTACGTCCAAAATATTAATAGTACTGGTTTTGCAACTTTGTCTAATTTTAGTCTTCTTTCTGTGGAACAGTCCTTGTCCTCCCTCATGACCTCTCCATGACAATTTCAGTGATCTGGAGCCACTAGCAAATAAGTCATTCAGAAAACCAAGTTTTCTACATAGTCGAAGGGTGGAGAGAATAGTTTATGTAATTTCATTATTTTGGAGGAAACATTTCCTTCAATACTTGAAATCGAACTTGAACGAAAGATCCGTTCTGTATACCTCTAGAAAGCAGAGATAGGATCAATAGGTACAAATTACACAGATCTGGGGACATAAGAATCAGGAGCAATGCTGGCCGAGCACAAGGTCGAATGTTTCATGGGGTAGGTCCACTTCCCAACATTAAACATACTCAGCCACAGACCGTACGACTATCTGTTAGGAAGTTAAAAGTGTTCCAACAGGGGTTGAAGGTTATCTAAACAACCAGCAGGGATTTTTCTCAATTTTAAGACTATAATTCCATGTTGATCCAACCTCAAAATATGAACCAGAAAGAAACCCTACTCTCATAATGAGTCTCAGGAACTAGGCAAGCTCAGGTCTCCCTCTACCTCTCCTGACCCAAACTTCCACACTGTCTCTGAAAATGAGCATCAGGGTCTCTGAGGCTGCTTTTGAGTTTATCTGCCAAAACCAAAGAGAGACATCAGGGAGGAGAGGGGTATCATTTCCAATACATAGGGGAAACCCGCAGAGAAAAGAGAGCAAGGAGAAACGTGGAAAATGGGACTGAAAAATAAAAGAGATATAGAAACAAATAAAGCAAAGAGGAGAAAGAGAAAGAGAAAGCTCAAAGAACCAGAACCCCCAGGAAAATGGGGTCACTGTTCTGCTGAATCTGCTAACGGTCTCCTGAGGCACAGTGCACACGGGAGACGCCTCGCCCTCGGGCTCATGCTGCCTCACATGCACACACGGTGGGGAGAATCTGCCCTGTTCAGAAACCAGAGTTCTGTTTCCTAGGATACCCGGATATACACGAGATGCTCTTTCAAGTCCTAAGAAAGAGCTATTGAAAAGGAAAATTTCCTTCTCAACCCTGAGTGGAAGGAGGGATATTTTAGAACATGGAGGTAGGACCAAAAGACAAAATTAAAAGGCAAGAAGGCATAAGTGTAGATGGAGAGAAAAATGTTGAGGGAAAAGAGAATGAGAGGACAGGCAAGCGAACGGTGAGATGAAAACAGGAAAGAAATAAGAAGAAATAAGTGCTGGTGGGGAGAGGCAAATGCAAGAGAAAGAAGAATTCTCGTGTGGGAAAGAGAATAAAGGTAGAGTCAGTTTGAAGGAGAGAAGCAAAAATATGGCACCTGTGGTCGGGACCTTGCAGGGTGGACCACAAGACATGTACATGCTCTTTTCACCAAACTGTCCCCCAAGTTATCCAAGCCGCCTCAAACTTCAGCCGGGACCACACCACCTGGGGCTCCATTCTCCCCTTACCCTCAGAAATTTCTTCTCCTTCATCCCACACAGAAGAGCTCATACACTGGGCACTGGCTGTTCCCTAGTGTTCACATCATGTCTGAGGGAAGGAGGTTCCCATCCACTTGGTAGAAGCAGGGGCAGGGGAATTCTTAGGGGGCAAACAAAGGATAATTGAGGGAAAGGGCCCTGCTGTGTGCCCCCCTAAAATTCTGTACCCACTACCATCTCTGCCCTGACCATATCTTAGAGGAATTCTCTGTTTTCTCCGGTTTCTCCTCTGTCACTCCCACAAGATCTGGAACACCTCAAGAAGAGACGCTGTCTTCTTCATGTCTACACCCCACGCCTAGCCCAGGCTCTGGCAAGCAGAAGGTGCTCGATGAGTGCCTGACAGACCGAACTGCACTGATGAAAGCAGTCAGTGTGTTGAAGCAGAAACCAAATGGGCAGGAATACCACAGACAACCTAGAATTTACCCATGGGAAGGGCAGGTGGCACAGGTGGGCAGCTACCCAAGCACAGACCTGTTGGAGCGCACGGGAACACACTAGAAATCTGTCCTCAAACATTTTAGAGTCTAATGAGGAGCTTCCAGTAGCATGTAGGACGCCTGCTCTCAAGCAGATCCCACAGGACAGGATCTGCCCTGTCTTCAGCAGGAAAGTTAGAGGGAGGGTAGGGAGGAGATTCTACATGTTAAAGACCTGCCCTTTCGCAGAGCCTCAGCGCTGACATCTATAGGGCTGCACAAAACTCTGGGCCTCACACGGAGTGGGACCGACGCAGGAGGCTCAAGGCAAGTGCACGCAGAAGGCCCAGGCCCTCGGTCTAGTGGAAGTGGACAGACAAAGGAAATAATTGTAATTCGCGATGAAGCGTGTCATAACGGGGATGCTTCCCAAGCGCTCTGAGAATGGGACATGTTGTGGGACAAGGCTGACATTTTCATCTCAGCTATTTCGTGAAATCCTCAAACATATCCAGATATTACGACTGTTTCCATCTCATAGGAGAGGAAGTCGGGACTTAGAAACAATCGAGCTGCTGGTACATGGCCAGAGCAGGTATCAAGTATCAAAGTCCTTCCCCTTCTGGTGTCGAAGTCCAGACTTTCCCCACTCGGCCAGCTTGCTGTGTGTGGTCTTTGTCAGCACCACACAGCTCCACTGGTCCTCAGTCCTTTGTGCTTCTAAAACTACCAAGGTCACGGTGTTTAGTCCCCCTACGAACCAGTGAGCTGGGCTCCCCTGATCCTCAAGCCACAGATCACTGAGTCCTACAGACTCGTCATTCACCGCTGTCCGGACCAGCAGGTCAGAGGCTCCTTGCACCTGAAGGGACAGCTGCTGTAATATCTACACACACACACACACACACACACACACACACGCACGCACATACACGCATGCCACAGGATCAGAGTGAGGCCACTGTGCAAAATTCCAATTCTGAGTTCATAAAAGCCTGAGCTCTGTGTCATCACGTGCCACACACATGTGTGCTCTTCAGAAACAGAGGCTGTGTTTTCCAGTTCTTTTGTCCCCAGGAGCACAGGGCCTGGGCAGGGAGGTCTGTACACAAAGGGGTGCTTAATTACCACTTTACCCCCAAAGTGGAGGACAGACGTGAACCTCTGAGCACCACTGGCAGAGACGGAGGGTTTGGTGCCTGTAAATATTTAAACCTTTTTCCCTTCTGGATGTCACGGCTCAGCCCTACTCTAATGCCTCTGCTCTGAGCCATCAGCAGGTAGAAGAGCCTAGAGGCTGATGTGATCCTGAGGGTGTGGCGTGACCTGCACTAGAGCGGCAGGAGACGGAAGGGACGCTCTGAGCCATCAAAGGCCAAATGGTCTCCCCCAGGTCAATCACCCAAAGAATTCCCAAAGAATTCCTTTTGACCTTGGGGTTCTGTCTTAGCCTCCTCGTCAACCTAAGTCTGACAGTCTCTTTTCACACTTCCATGAAGCATGAAGCAAATATTATATTAAAAAATTATCTATTGCTTATCTGCCATTCAAATTTAACTGGACATTCTGTACTTTGTTAAATCTGGCAACTCTATTCAAGGGGTGACCAGGTAAATAGCTTTCCTCCCAGTTGTTTTCCTAGCCCTGAACAAATGTGTGAGTTCTCTTTTGAAGAAGAGACACAAACCAGGGGTCTCCTGCCTTAAGGCCCAGGAGTCCCTCCTGAGCTTTAAAAAGTACCTCTTTGCAGGTACTTTTTGACTCCCACATACTGCAGGAGACCCAGAGGAGACAGGAAGAGGCCTAATTCAAGGTGATTCCCTACACAGATTTAAGCCAGGATATCATTTCCATGGGTGATCCACCAAAATGAGTTGCTGTGTCCACTTAGAAGTGTTTCACAGGTGGTTGGTTCCTTCTTCTCTTCTATTCTTTTACCTCCAATGAAGCACCAAAGCCTTACATATCCTTCTGTCAACACATCTCTTGGATTCACCCCTTATTCTCCAGCTTCCTTCTTGCC